GCCTTTGTTCTATATCTCTAATATGTTTTCACTTAGGGCGTTTGCATTTGCTTTTTTTTCTATTTGGACAGTTTCCTTTCAGAGACCTGCATGGCTTGCTCTTTCAATTTATTCAGATCTTTGCTTAGATGTCACTCAATGACACTTTCACTAACCATCTTATTTAATATTGTACCCCTATCCTTTGTATTCTTTCCACCCTTAGTGGATTTCTCTTTAGCATTTATTGCCATTTGATATATAATGTATTTTACTTCTTAAAAATATTTTGTCTCTTCCTCCCTGCCCCCCCTCCAACTAGAATGTAAGTAGGAATTTTTGTTGTTCTTGTTCACTGCTGTATCTTAATTCTCTATCAAGCTTATGTGAGACAAATGTCATTTGAAAAAGAAAGCTTCAGGAAGTGTTTTCAGACTGTTTTGGTATCAAAATCTCCTTGGGAACATAAATACACAGATCTCTGAGCCTCATTCTAGATAGAGTATAGAGGATCTTGGATACCATGTGAAGGAGTTTAGATTTTATTCCCTAGGCTTTTGAGGAGAGTAATGCTGTTATCCAATCTATGTTTTAACAAAAACTATCAAGAATGATTTACAGCGGGTTAAAATGGGAGGTAAGAGACCTCTTGGGACTGTTGTACTATAGTTCAGACAAAAGATGATGAAACTTGAACTAGCGAGCAGGAGCAATGAGAAAGGTAATGTCAGAACTTAGTGATTGATTGGGTATGAAAGAGTGGGATAAATTTACGATGACTTCCAGGTTTTTGACTTAGGTGCTAGGTGGATGGGTTGTCTAAATCTGAGACAGGGAATACAGGATGGAAGAATGGGCTTAGGGGAAAATGTTGAGTTTACTTTGGGACATGGTGAATTTGAATTGCTTATGGAGTTATCAGGAAGAAATGTTCAAAAAGTAGGTGTGTGTGGATGTGTAGGTGAGTATTATAATTATTTTGAGAAAGATGTAGATTTGGAAGTTACTAGGTTTCATTTATCATGAAGTGATTTAGACAACCACTAATCTACTTTCTGTCTCTTCAGATTTGCCTATTCTGGACATTTCACACAAATGCAATTACACAATATGTAGCCTTTCGTGACTGGCTTCTCTCAATATAATGTTTTCAAAGTTCATCAGTGTTGTTGCACGTATCAATACTTCATTCCTTTTTATTGCCAACTTTTCATTGTATGGATCTGATGCAGGACAGGACAGATTTCCCCAAA